CCCAACCTCGCCAAGGCACCAAGCCATCAACAGGCCCTGGGCCAGCTGCCACCAGGTGACAAAGACTGGAAAGGGGACCACATCGAGAAAGAGGCGATACACTACAAAAATGTTTGACAAGGTCAAAATCAAGAACAATATTTCGGATGTCAGAATCTCAGGATCTGTGAGATAACGTTGGAGTTCCTGCCAAGTCGGCATTCGCAGATCGCGGAGAGAGGCCATTGTGCCAGCCTTCGTCGTCAGCTTGCAAAAAATAAGAACAATGGCCCAATCAGTTTAAGAACACTGGGAGATATTGACTCCCTGAAAGTTATGAGTTGCTGACACTGTTCATGCAACGAAATGATCGCATCGACAGCCGTCGCTGTGAGGCAAACACGCAGCCGACAGCGCAACCAGGCCGCCGAAGGCTAACTGGAGGGGTGCTGGAAGGGGAGCTCTGAATATCGAACAAAAAACTCTGAATTGTCCAGCTTTTCACTGCTTTTGAAACAAGAGCATCATGAGGCGGTAGATGAATCTGTTTTCTGTAAGCCACAATAACTTTCTGAGCTGCAGGCAGCGATTCCTCAAGAGGCGGCCCCCATCGGTCTGCAGCCATCGGTCACAGCCGGCTAACGCTACGCATCCATCCTTCCCACTGATGGTGCTCCTCAATGATAATTGCTTATACTTACTCTTTTAATGATGTTCTTTTTGCTGAACCTCACGTCGCAGAGGTTTACTACTGATCTCATGGCTGCAACTTAAACGCACCGCTAGTTCGCTCCGCCGAACTGGAACACCACCCAACACGAGTTGGCACTAGCTTGTCCTAATTTTTGCACGTTTATTAGAGAACTACCGAAAGAAATATTAGGAGAGCGTGTGGGAGCATAACTGTGTCCGTAGTTGCCTCACTATCCCGTATTAGGGATGTAGCCACGGGCGTGAGCCGATTGCGCTACCGATCTTCATTTGCAGGCTGCGCAACAAATCGGCCTTAAAATACCATTCACTTGGACTTTAGCAAATAAATCAATATGCTTTTTTTTTCATGCGCAGTGTGTCTAGGGTCCACGCTTTGGATGCGATCCTTGGAGACATGTTGAACCGCTGGCTGGCTGCACCGAGAACCAGGCACCTCAGCCCGAACACTTTCTAAAAAGATTTACGGAGTTTTCAATGACTCATTTGCATTTCTTCAGTTTCACTTGGGAAGGGCCTTGTTTAGAAGTAGCAGGCAACTCAGCTGTGCTCCTGCCTGCTATGTTTCTGAAATATCTGTGGCCCAGGAGCGCCATGCAATGTTTTGGAAGTCAGCGCCTACTGCGGTGTAATTAGTTTGTCTCCACATGTAAGCGTGTGGTGGAGTAATTGGGAGCGAAATAGGAAGTCCTTAGCCTTAGCCGAGGACCGTCGTGAGCTGCAGGAGCCAAAATACAGTAGAAAGCAGCTGGCATTAATGCCTTTATCCAGGAGACGTGAGCATAGCAGCACAAGGGCTTGCAGATGGTACCAAAAGGGGGCAACCTGCCATGAGTTGCAGCACACCTTGCTGCAACTCCTGCTGCAAGACCATCCCGGATCCTAGCCTAGACACCTTCTGGTGCATACACTAACACCAAATACAATTGCTAAACGCAGAGTTGGCAGTCAGTAACCAAAGTACACCCAAGTAGAAGTACGTGTGCTAACTTCAGGCAAAGATGCTATATCTGCCTCCCGTCTCCCCAAACAGCACACGCCCTTATGTACCTCGTTGCAGAACAAGGGATGGGTGCACTGTGGGAGAAAAAGAGGAGGCAGTGGACGCCACAGCCACGAACGAAGAAAATGTAACAAATAAATGACAGGGAAAAAAAGGAAGCGGCATCTTCCGATGGTACGCATAGATTACTGCTGTTGCACTGCGAGAAGGCCTCGCGGTGGGGAAAATACTGCTCGTGGAAGACGCTCTATACCTTGCGCCGGGGCTACGAGAACCTCATAATACGGGCATCGCAACGTGAACAAAAGCGCATTTTGAACTGTAGCGGGAGAGTAGCACCAGAGCGCAGATGACGCGGGAGTCTTGGCATGGCCACGGTAGGCCACAGAAGTGTCTTGTTCTAAGAAAGGCGCGCGGGGAGCCCACGAATTCACTCGTGGTTCGAAAGTAGATTAGCTTCTAGCCATAATTATTAGTCAGCGCCTAGTCTAAGGGTGCCTCGATGTGGGACCCAGACGTATTGACTGAGAAACAGATTAGTAGCCCGCTTTATCTGACCCTAGCGTCGCTGAAGGGAACAAAACCGCTACAGTTGTAAGTGAAGGGGTAAGCGAATGAAGATACTTGATATTCCAACCGAAAGCCAACTAATAGTAATGTGTGCAGCAATAGCCCGATTTTTTGTACCAGCTTTCAAATTGTATCCGGGAAACCTCCAATGAAATGATGGTGCATCCTATTCCCACCTACCTATCACTTCTTCATATCAAATATGTGGAACTTGCAAAATGCTTTTGTGTAAACTTTCCTTTAACCCAGGCAATACTGGTTTCATTCTCCATAGCCTGTCACTCAACTCAGTAACCTACTGGCTTGTGAAAGGGGGTGTTCTATTAAGTGACTACCTGGTGCTGCATATCTTACGGCCCCTAGAGAATAGTGCATCTGACCTAAAACTAACGGTGGGGAGTCGAACAGGTGAACGATCTGATATTAAGATGCAAAACGCAAGTCGGATTTCCAAGGCAGTCGTGGACAAAACACCTTGTTGTGGCTGAAGCTACGTTTAGGGGTTCCTTATTATGCGCGTGGAAAGAAGTTTGGCTTATCATAGGCAAAATGCGTTGAAATGAAATGAGGCACCGTCCCGTGCCCACGTGCATTCTGAGCGACACTGAACCTGTCAATTTGCCAGAACACAGCAGCTCCCCAGCTACACTACTCCTCAAACAATACCCCATTTGGGTGTCCAACCCCACAACTCTTGACGGCAGTTGAAGAACGAGGAGAGATTCTTATTCCCCTGTTGCTGCTAGGGTTAGCGTCCGTTTGAAGAAAGAAGTTGGACTGCAGCACATTGTGGCCTTCTCTGGCCGACAGCGCTACAATGGTTTCCCATGCCTTGCAGGCAGGCTCAGCCACCGAAATTTTAGACCATTCCTGCATTGTATGGCCTGGGCAATAGTCAAGTAGATGAGTTCGTCTCAGTTCGTCCTTTAACGGTATCTAGGATCTCGCGGTACTCCCTTGCGGCAAAGCAACACACACAACAGCGCTTCCAGTGGCGCGTTACCGTCAGTCTGTGAAGCACTGCAACGCTTGCCCGGGTGTTGTTGGTGCCTCCCGGATGCTGCATCAAATGCCAAAGGAAGTATATAGTTTCAGCCCTAGAAAGCAGTGGCCTTTCCAGTGACTCACTGCCTTGAATAGTGGCTTTCATTCTGTAGGGAATCTGACAAGCAGATCGATGAACACCCCCAGGACAGCAGAAAGGGTCTTTTTCCTTTAGCACCAGCGCAGTCCGCGTAAAGCGTGCTTTGCAGTGCCTTTGCTCCGTAGAGTGGTGCGGCGCTTGTTGCTAAGAAGTACGGCAAGGCTAGAGCGCCGTCTAAGAAATGACTAGAAAGAGCCGTCTGCTTCAGTATTCATTACACCCGTCTCACTGCACTGCCTCTTCATCTGTAGTCTCAGTAAGTAGAAGAGCTGAGGCTGTTGCAGCAATCGCTTCTCTGCATACTGACAGCGCTGCTACGATTCTCCATCTGTAACTAAATTCTTTTCGCACGCACAGGCTGGGGTAGTCTACGTTTTTGGGCTCCTACCCGCAATAAACTTGAACGGGTCAGCTGGCCGCTGCTTGACGCATTCAGAGAGCGCTCTGCGCAGCGCCTCATGAAACTCCTTGCTGAATCTCTTTAGCTGCGTGTCCATCGTCACCGTAGGAACGACGATGCAAACCTCAGAAACAATCCCAGTGACCTCCTGCAGCAAAGCAGCTGCGAACGGCTCCATGCTCGTCGTCTGTGAGTTCTACAATAAAGCAATTGTGCAGTGTGGAATAACTTCGCTACGAAACATATCTGCCCGCCTCTTTCTTGGTTACACTGCAGGATTCAAGGCAAGGGCTGTTCAGCCGTGCTGTGGACCATCTAGTGATTCGTTTCCGTGTCGTTTGACCGTCATTTGGCTAGTTTTACTCGTCGGCTTCTGCATGCTAAGTCAAGCCGCCTATCAAGTTGCCAGCAGCCAATGGCATACACGAGCAATTCCTCGATGAAAGACTTAAAAATCCTCTGGCTCTTCCTTGGCACATTGAAGCTTAATGGTCACTCTGGCTGTGCTGCTGAGGAAGCATGGCAGCAACGCACGCAATGCACGGGTCGCGTATCGTAGGGCTCAAGGGGCCCGGACGCAGCACTACTGCCCACAGCTATTACGTGAATTAGTAGCGTTGTAAATCCGTATTGTATTACGGCGGAAATAAATTTTATATATTGCAGCTGCACGAATTGTCGCAGGACTGGACCTAAAGACGCATCTCAGAGCGGAGCCCGCAGCTACACCATGCGGCGCATCTGAACCAAGCATCGACGTTTGAGACGACGGCAACGTTTTTTAGTTTGTCCCTGGAAGCTGCATGCCTTTCTGCTTTGGCTTGAAATAACAGGTGTTGCTCAAAGCGCCAGCATTTAACACCTGATTGCCTCTGCTCATTTCTACCAAGCCGACCTGACCGTACCTGAGCAGCGCCTGAGCAGCGCCTGCTGGTCCACAGGTTGTGCCAGCCTTCCCTAGCGCTTTTTAGCCAGTTTCCTTTAGCCTTCCTGTAAATTAACGCTCACTGGATGTAACGTCGAGCTCAGCGGCTCTTCCGTGCAGCCACGTGACTCCAAGCAGCGAGCCAGGAGATAATGTCCTGCCAGGCAGCACCTCAGTTTGCCCTGAATTCCGGGTATCAGAAGTTCATATGAGGGATATGACCTCTCGCCAGTCTACGAGCGCCCACAAGGCTGCGTGAGTTGTGACTATGGAGGCACCCGGGGGAGAAGGGGCCCCTAAGTCGGCGATCAGGGCGGTCGATGAAACCTCAATTTTGCCGTACTTTCTCGATGAGGTACGGAGACAGGATCTGCACTCCCCATGCACCCATAATAATATCGGCAGCCGGGATCGACGTACTTTGCGGACGTCAGCATCCAACAATTTTGGTGGAGGATTGTCGAAGCCCCAGGAGTGGCCACTGGCGGCAGCTGTGGAGCGACGAAAGGGAAGCTCGGCAGCACTTGCTTTAGTCAACGGCGAAACACCCAGAGGGGGTGCTAGGGGACCCATAAGTAAGGCTGACTGGTTAACGGCGTCTCTTGAATCAGCCGTCAAGTCGTCGGATGCCCTGCCCCTGTTCAATCACCTGCGGACGCTGACTTCTCGGCTTTTCAGCGAAGATGAATCGCTCAAGAAGCAGGCTCCACGTAACGCCAAGATGAGCTTCCAGCAGGCACAAAAGGGAAGGCTACCGTGCCTGCAATCGCTGGACGCAGAGGACGCAGTTCGGCTTGCGCACCACTTGGCCCAAGAAAATTCGTACTTGGAGACCTTCATCTCGACAGACGCCCGGGTTCTGCAAAGTGCAGCTCTAATGAAGGCCCAAAGAGAGCTCGCTGCTGCCCTACAGAGCAATAGGCGGCTGCAACAGCAGGCAGAGAAAGACCGACAGGTCATCGTGGAGCTGGAGTTGAGGAGCCGCTTATTCGCTGATGCCTACGCGTGGCTCACCAGTCACAACAGAATGATTCATGCCAAAGACGCTCCTGCGCTGGTGGCTTTGTGGCGGAAAAGAGTGGCAGCAACAAGCGCAGCAAAGAGGGGGCCTGTGGCACCCGAGTTCATCAAAGATTTGGCTGAGGCCTACGCCGCCGTTGACTCAGAAGGGGACACTGAAACAGCGTCCGAAGATGGGCGCGAAAAGGAGAAGGAAGATCTCTTGGCGGCGGCAGAGTTGAGGGAGGCAGAAGCTGTGAGTGAGGCCCGGCAAGCCCAGAGCCGTGCAGCCCTGGCGGAGGCGCGGGCAGTTGCTGCAGAACAGCAACTTGCTGCGGCAAAGGCTCAGCTAGAGAGACTTACGAGCGCTGCCGCAGCTTCTGCCCTTGCTGCCGCCGCAGCTTCAGCCAGTCTCTCGTCGCCCACACCTGTGGGCGAGGGGGAGGAGCATATGCATGCGGCCTTGAGAGACAGCGAGGGACGAGCAAAGACGGCTGAAAACGAATGCGCTCGGATGAAGACAGCGTTGGAAACCTTACAAGCCTCCCTTGACCGTGCTGCTTCAGAGCGGCAGCGTCTCGAGCAGGAACTTGCAGAGGCGGTAGCGGCTGCGGAGGCCAAGTTGACTGCACAAGCCGAACAACACGCAGCGGAACTGGCCCAACTGCAAGCGGAGCACTCTCAAGTGGTGAGAAGCTTCGAGGGATCCGTTCATGAGGCGGAAAAGCTCAGGAGAGAGCTCGACGAGGTGCGCCAGCAGTGCGCTGGCCTGAGCGCTGAGCTGGTGGCAGCAAAAGAGAAGGGGACCGGGGAGGGCTTCACGAACGTTGCCTCTCCTGGGGGCCTCGCATCACCACCTGCTTCGGACATATCAACCCTCACCTCGGAACGCAACAGCTACAAGGCCACGGCGTTGAGGCTGGAAATGGACATCAAACGACTCAGTGCGAGAGCAGCAGAGGCAACGCAGCTCGAGAAGACTGTCGCTGCACTCAAAGAAAAGCTACAGGCCGGGGAGGAGCTCAAGACAGCATACGAGGCCCTGCAGAAGGAAGCGCAAACTCTCAAGGGTCAACTGAGCTCGAGACAGAGTCCGCCCGTTGCTCCAGCGGGGCCCGAAATTCCCGCTAAGGCGATTGACATCACCGCGATAACAAGGGAACGTGATGCTCTCAGGGAGGAAGTTGCAGCTCTTAAGAAACAACTGGCGAAGCTGCGGGAGGAGATAGAGATTCTCAAAACGCAAGGAAGGGGCCTCAAGAAGCCACCTGTGACAGGTCCCGAGGACACCAGCTGCGAAGAGACGACACTGGCTGCTGCGGAAGTGGCGGAAATACTAAAAGAGCGGAATTGCTTGCAGGAAAGAGTACGGGCCCTTGAAGAAGAGGTAGAGGCTCTTCGTGCCTCGGCAACAAGCCTTGCTCAGGCATCACAAGCACCGAAGAGAATTTCATCACCCACGTCCACTCCACAGACTTCCCAGCCTCCACAAAGCAAGCAGCACCCAGCGCCGACGCCGAAGGACCGAGCTGTCCCGATCTCCGCAGAGATGTCAGCAAGCGCAGAGAGTGGAATCACAGGGGAGAGGGATAAAATTGACAAGCCCCCCGAAGTGTTATCGCCATGCGTTGCGAAAGTGCAACTTGGGCCGTTGCCACCAGCATCCCCCAACGGAGTGCTGGCTGCGGCTGTGTCTTCCGCAGATGCTCGTGCCTCTTCGCCTAAGGCCAGTCCTGCGACTGTGGCTGTGTTGGCAAAGAAAGTCGGGCCTTCAGCGGGAGCCAAGGCGCTGCCTCCGAAGATCGTGGGTAAGACCCTAACTGTGGCACCGTCTCAGGGGGAGCTTCAGCGGCCAGAGTCTGAGGACAGTGCTGAGGCTGCTCTTTCAAAGTATGCAGGGCGTGTAGTTAGCAAACCGGTTCCGAGCGCGTTTATGCCCAAAGTAGCAGTATCTCCTGCTGCGGCTCTCTCCTCGGAAGTCACAAGCAGCCATGGTGGAGCAGCGTGTCAGCCTGAGCCTCAGATTGCTAGCGAGGGCAAGGGTGAGGCTGAGGTTATATCAACGAAGATCCTAGGACCGTCAGCGAAGAAGAAGGTGGCTCCTTCATTGTCGTCGAAAGCAGCGAGGCCGAAAACCGTACCTGCGGCCACAGACTTGGGAGGCGCAGATACACGGTTGGAAGACAATGTTGTGGCTAAGCCAAAGACTCCAGTTACAAAGACGTCAGAACCTTCTGTGGGAATGAAGGCGCCTGGAGCAGTGCTGGATCAGGACCGCAAAACGCATTCTGGTGACTCCGGTGTTTCAGGTGGAGATGCAGGGACGCCTCCACCTGCTGCTGCAGCTGCTTCCGAGAATGCTGCAGCTAAAAGCACTGCTGCTTCTGTGGATGCGGCGAAGAGTGTAGGGATGACACTGCCTAAGACGTTGGCGAAGGGTACGAAGGTCCCGGCGCCG